ATGAGATCCCCCTCAGTCTTCTCTTCTCCAGACTGAACAGCCCCAAGTCCCTCAGCCTTTCCTCATGAGAGAGATGCTCCAGTCCCCTCATCATCTCCGTAGACCTTTGCTGGACCCTCTCCAGCAGTTCCCTGTCCTTCTTGACCCGGGGAGCCCCGAACCGGACACAGTGCTCCAGATGTGGCCTCACCAGTGCAGAGCAGAGGGGGAGGATGACCTCCCTTGACCTGCTGGCCACGCTTTTCTTGATGTCCCCCAGGATGCCATTGGCCTTCTTGGCCTCCAGGGCACATTGCTGGCTCATGGGCATCCATGACCAGTCCACCCATGACCTCTCCAGTCCGGTCCCCGCGCAGGGAAGGGTGGGTGCACCATGGTCTCGGGAACCCCTGGCCGGCTCTTGCTGCTTGGGCTCAGCTTCATTCCACTCATGGTCCCCAAGGGGTTTTGTTTTACACTTCTGTATTTGTTTTACCTTAGACACCAATGGAAGAGTCAAGGGGAGAGGATCAGAAACGGGACTCTCGGCATTTAACAGCTCCCCAAATACTGGCTCAGGCCATACGGTTTTGTACAAACCCTCCAGTCACTCAGCACTGGGAACACCAAACCTACTGCCAGCCCGGCCGGGGATGGACCACCTCCCGTTCTCCTCCGCACATCCCTTTCCCATACAAGGGTTGCAGCAGCTTGCTTGCCTCTCCTAAATCCAGAGCGCACAGGAGAAAGGGACGTGCCCTGGTTTAAGTACAACAGCCAAAGCACTTGTGAAACGCAGGATACGTCTTCCGAGAGATTGAGGAGGTGCCTTTAATAAGAAAAAAAAAACCTAAGAGCATCTTATCTAGGGAGCAACAGAATAGCGGAAACGCTGCAGAAGAGTTATGTGCTATGTCCTGTCCCTGCTCCAGGTCCTCAGAACAGCTGAGCCGCTTCCCCGAAGCACCGCTTGACCAGCACAGACCCCGGCATGGAAAACGTCAGCCTCAAAGGGCCAAAGAGGTGGAAGTTCAAGTTTAATAAATGGGGACTGAGCGTTTATGCAGTCTGAATGTCACCATTAATCCTATTAATGTTATTAATCCCTAGGAGGGGGAAGGGGAGGCACTAACTGGTGAAGATGAGACAAGGGAAAGGAGATTTAAAATAAAAGAAGAGGAAAAAAAAAAAAAAAAAGAGGCGGTAGGGACACATTTAAGGCCCTGACTGCTATAGCTGTTTCTGTGGCGTGAGATGTCATCGGAGTCACACAGCTTTGTGGCTTTCCCACGGGTGGCATTATCACAGAGACAGACACTGCCATGGCCAGAGAATCTCACCCACCGATTTCTTAATGAAGCCCATAAACGTATCTGAGATCACATACGCCAGAAAAACCGGCACATCTTCTCCTTAAAAACACCTAGCAGCGGGGAATCTGACAAGTCCCAAAGTATTTTTTTATTTTACTAAAAAAAGCATTTCCCTTACTGCCCAAAATACATACCTTACTGCTACCCTGGGATTGGGCTAGTGGTTTAAATTGCAACAGGAGAGACCCTCAGGAGCGTACACAGCTGTACTGTAAGCAAATATTTAGACAGGCTATATAAGATATGGGACTGCAAAGCTCCACTCTCCTCCCGGTGTCCACAAACCAAACACGCGCGGGAGGATCTGACGCTGTCACATTACGCATTAGGAGCCGAAATGACTTCTGGTCAGCCCTTTGGGGACGGATAATCAGCAGCTTGTTCCGTGCTCCCGATTAAGAGGAGATAATCCATTTCTGTACAGCTTTGGTGTCAGATCAGAGCAATTCTGGCAACAGTTCCAACAGCACACAGCGCTCCGGCAACAGCTGATGCAAACGCTGCGAGAGCCACGGGGCATTGCCGCCGCCATCCAAAGGACGTGCCGCCGCGTCCACTGTCCTTTTGCAGCGGCAACTGCTGGAAAGGTCAAGCCCATAACGGGGGCAGCCGCACAGCTTTGCCTCTCCTCTCGGACCTGAATGTCAAGGCTGAGAGATGAGCAACCCAGAGAACCCGCAACACAGGGTCCTCCGCAGAGCTGGAGGACACGGTTTGCTGCTGGAGCTGCATCCCGGAGTGGCCCTGCGCAGCACGGGGACGTCACCCTGCACGAGGAGCATCCGTCCCGCTGCCTGGGAGACCAGTTCAGTGAATTCGGTCACTGCTCAGTCCCTCCGCGCAGCTGTAGCGCAGAGGATTTCTTGTTGAACTGCAGAAGAGCTGTGCCCCTTCCTCTTCAGCCTGATCGGCACTGGGATGGATTGAGCTACCAGTAACGAGGCAGCCCTGAAGAGCTGCCGACGCTCAAATCGCAGCACGGGCCCAAGCAAAGGAAGAGCTCCGGAAGGGATTGCATGCTTTTCCCATCTCATCCCTAGAGCTCAGGACAAATATATGGGTCTTGATCGTTTCTCCTCCCTGTAGTTTGGGCACATTACATCAAAAAGCGTGGGAAGAATTATGTTGGACAAGGAGAACTCAAAAGGGCAAGGCAGAAATGACCACAGTTGACCTGATGGACAAGGAGAACTCACAAGGGCAAGGCAGAACTGACCACAGTTGACCTGATGGACAAGGAGAACTCAAAAGGACAAGGCAGAACTGACCACAGTTGACCAGATGGACAAGGAGAACTCAAAAGGCCAAGGCAGAACTGACCACAGTTGACCTGATGGACAAGCACCAGGAGTGTAGGAAGGCAACACCACACCACAAGCAGCCAATCACTCAACAGCAGGCTCTTAAACAGAACTACCACTCCAAAACTTTTGCAGAAGAGTCCTCAGACCTCAGAGGGGACATTCCTCAACCTGTCCCAGCCACCGGCAAGGGTGCTGCTGAAGAAGGGGTGCCTTCAGCCTCCAGGTGACGGCACTGGAGGGAGAGAGGCAGTCATGATTAAAAGCCTTCCAAGAGGTAAATGATGGAGGATAATAATCAGTTAATCTCTGCTTCCACCCCAGGTAAGATTTAAAAAAAAAAAAAAAAAGCCTAAATCAGCTTTGTCTGCAGCAAATGAAGATTGAGATCTGATATTAGCAAACGCTCAAAGATGGGGCCATTAGGCTTTGGGACAAGCTGAGGGGGTTTGCTAATTCTCCTTCATTAGTTTTGTACAGGGCAGAGAAACACCCTTCAGGCACAGGCTGGGCACAGTAAATTCAGCTTCCAGCAAGAGGATCACACCATCCCCTTCCAGATTTGCCTGTCAAGGACCCCCAGGGCTAAGACGAGGATGAGAGTGGCACAGGGCACGCTGCGAGGGGCTGACGGAAGAACCACGCAGCACCGACAAAACAACTCGTGCAGCGTTCCCTATCAAAGCTCACCCATTTTGAAGCCTTCTGCTTTGACAGCTATCCAAGCTCAGCTTCGCCTAATGTCGCCCGGCCGTTCTGCAGCCACCTCTCACCCTACAAAGGGGCAGACACACCTCGCAGTACATCCGCACCGCGTCAGGGACGCCAACACGGTGAACCCTGCGTGCTCTTTGTTTTCCAATGCAGCATTTCAAAAAGCCGCGTCGTTCATTTAAGGTGAAGCAGATGCTGTTCCTCTGGTCTCTTTGAAAGAGCTTATCTATGGGCTGGATTTCATTAAGTGCCTTGTTCTGCATTTAATAAGCTTGCAAGTCTAGACACTTCGGTTCTCTCTCTATCACCCCTTTGGTGTAGCAGCAGGTAGAGACAACAGAGGTTAAAAGGGAAATATTTAGCTAGCAGATTTAGATGCTATCAAGATGATTGCGTAATTCCACTTTGACTCACTGCAATTTCATACCCAGGGACTTTTTCGCTCACCCGAGTGCCAACCCCTTCCGAGGGAAAGGGGCTGCTACCTGCTGCAGTAGCGCAGAGGAGGTCCCTGGGAGGTTCACAGCACAGACTTTGGGATATTAGTAGAGAATCCATGTCAAACCAATGACCAAACAAGGGAGAAAAATCCAGAGGAGCTGTGTGGTGGAATCGCCCTCAGACAGCGATGATGATGTACGAGCAGAACAGCCTCAGCAACCCAGTCCACCCGACTCTTCAGATATTTCCACGTGCAACTGGGTGTCACCTCTTCCCCCAGCCAACAAGGCCAACCCAGGCAGGAGCCTGATGCCCTGCTCCTCCCTCCTGGGGACACCGTGACCGGGAGCACCGAGGTGCCTGCAGAGGCCCACGGGACGGGCCGCGACCGAGAGCTCGACGGCCAAACCAAGAGATGGTGCTCAGACCTCCAGCGGGTGCTGTGCCCGACGTCCGGGCTTCGGCTTCGGCTGTTTGCAAGAGGGATGTACCCAAAGCGTTCTTGAAAACGGGCAACACTGGAAGGGTGCATGCCAGCTACCTCCGGAGGGAGCTTCTCCCCACAGCTCCCACGAGCCAGGCGTGCCCTATCGGGACCCAGTTTGGTGGGACATGGCTGCAGATCCGATGGCAATGCCGAAACCCATCACTTGCTTATCACCCAGCAGTTAGCATCCTCGCTCGAGCGATGGGAACTCAGCCGGGACTTGGTATGTTTTGCTTCTGCCCCTGCATCACACTTGAACCCTCAGCCTCTGCACAAAACCCGCTCTGTATTTCCCTGCTTCGCCCCAAAGGCGAAGGGAGAGGGACACAAATCCTGCCGCTTCACAACACGCTGGGAAAGGTCAGCGTTTTCGTGGAGCGGGGCTGCAAGATGCGCATGTTAGTTACACGCGCTGTGGGGATGTACCAACACCACTAACTGCAATCTTAAAGAGCAAAACGGTTTTTCACAAGATTAATCAGAAAGACCGACCTCTCTCTTTGGGAAACAAGCAGCCATAATCAGCAAATATTTCTGTCTCACGGGATTGCAAAACAAGGCATGCTCTGCCCTCTGAGCCATGAGTCATGAACTTCCCCAGCAAAGCGGGAGGCAGAGCAGAACAACTGCACAGAGAACAACAGGATGGGGAATTTTTTTTACATTTTATCCCAAGGAGAGCAAGTTCAAGGTCTCCGCACTTACCGTCAAACTTCTTGTAGCGGGAACTAAACATGGTTTGTAGGTGATTGCTAAGCTCTACAACAGCGTTTCTGAAGTCATGTTTACTCTGCTGACTGTACTTCTCCTCCATTTCTTGAGAGCAGCATGTGTAGCCTTGCGAGCAGACTTTCAAGTGGTCACCTGGAAAGCAGAGAAGAAAACATCCCAAGTTAAAAGGATTCTCTCCATGCAAGGGCAAAGAGGTCGGCTGGGGAGGCAGAGGGTGCCAGGACCCGCAGCACCATCCCCTCCCAAGGAGGGCCCCCCTCACTGCGAGCGCTGGACCGGGCACATCACAACCTGATTCTGTAGAGGAACTTTATAGCAACGCATGTAAATACCACACCTCGCCTCTCTGCAAGAACATTAAAAAGCATCCTCTTATTTGTTCAGATAATAAGTGGAATAAACAGACACTCCTCTTGCACGGTATAATTTGAAGAACCAGCAAATTAACCTGTCTGTACTATGATATCTGCCATGAAGTTTTTGCTGAGTGTTTTAATTACTTCCAATTCATTCAGCTAATACACAGCACAATATCAATGACAATGGTCCTTTTGGTACAGATAAATCCTTTTTTCTCCACCTCCAATTATCACAGTGAAGGTAATCTCTCTCACAGACACAGTTGTCACTGATTAAAATATACTTGTTTTGCACAACTGCTCATGAGAAAGCTTTGTATTTCTCAGCTCCTAATTTTACAGTTTTCTGTCATCATCCTGGGCAAAACCGAGTGTTTGTTATTGGAGAATTCAAACAGATTTTTCTTCCTTCACCCTGAATGATTACTCTCTCCTAAGAGTCATCTGGCTCAAGCTGGCTTGGTCAGAGAAACCATAAAGTGCTTCAGTATCTACCATAGCTCCATTCCAAAATTACACCTGGGCACAGGATCTGGCCCTATATAATTCGCTTTTAGAGCATCTCGCTGCAGCGCGGGATGAAGCTGTCCTCTCCCGGCACCACCAGTAAAATGCTGCTGTCAGGTTTTGTGGGCCAAGACAAACTCTTGGCGTCGCAATCCTCAGCTCCAGCTCCTCTGACAAGGTCCCACAACGCCGCGCCATCACAGGCAGGCGGGCTGATGCTAACGCGGTTCAAACTTGGGCAAATTGTGCAAATCTTTGTCAACGCCGAAGATATGATCAAAACAAGCAGTTAGGATGAGAAACTCATCCTTCCAAGTCAGATGGTATTTTAAAAGACACAGCCTACATGTAAGCTGCTGCCTTCCCTCCCGTTTCACACCCCGCTGCCAAACCTTGTCCTTCATCCCGAGGAAGCAGATGGAGAAGCGAAGGCTCCTCCCTACCCTGGAAGCCACCACCAACCTCCAACCACCACCGAGGTCCAGAGATTCACGGCGAGAGCGGCAAAGGACTTGCCAGCCCCCGCGCACGGCGAACCACCTCTCCGCAACCCCACGCTTACCGAAGAGCCGTCCCACCTGCCAGAGCATCTAAAGTGGGCTTAGAAAAACACCAGCAATTTTTGCACGGTGCCAAACAACGCCTGCCCGCGGGTAACACGAGCGGTTGCTTCTCTGCCTGCCTTGTGCGAGACCGCGTCACAACGTCATTCGCCCGGGTATTCAACGTTCGCATCACGTCGCGTGACTTTCTAGCCCAGAAACGTCACTATCTCTCCTCCCAGACACTTAAGGACCATTCTAAAATAGAATATAAATATTTTTATCTCTCTCTCCATATATAATTCCTAAGGCCTCTCCTCCTAAATCTATCTTCGTTTGCACTACAGGGTTTGTTTGTTTTCCCTGGCATCACAGGCAGACCTTGACCGACAGATAATTCTGCCACATTTAATTTATTGCACAAGATCGTCTGTTGCTCCAGAATTATGGAAAGCTCAAAGTCTGTTACGGGAAGCAGCACCGCTTCGGCACAGTCTTCAGAAAACACAGAAAAAGCTCACTATCTCCTTACAGATGTATTTTTTTTTTCATGGACCCTATTTCTTTCCATCTCAGAGGAGCACCACCAGTGGCAAATACACAGCATTAACGGGTGCAGCTCCGTTTAGCTTTATAAGTCATTTAAAAGAGCGGAAGACGCACATCTGGGATTTTGGGATCCTGCCCACCAAATCCATCCCAGAGCACACCTGGGGACTCATCTATGAGCCTGCCCTACCAGCGAGCATTAAAAAAAAAAAAAAAAAAAAAAGAAAGTGCCCAACCACCACCACTTTATTTCACTTGAATCTCTTTGCTCCGGGTCCGATGCAGGATTAAGGCTCTTTGACACAAGGGGAAACAAATAAACAGCAGCAAAGCAATGGTTACAGCTAGGGGGACGGCTAGTTCTGAGGGGTCAAAAGAATTTAATTTCAGAAGTCAAGGTGTGGGTTTTGGGTTTTTTTCCTAATTTTCTTATGGAGGGGGAGTATATTGCAAACATTTTACCTGAACTGCACTGGATGGTTTCAGCACCATTTCCACGAGGCATGCCGGCCCTCGGTGGTTACAACTTACATACTTCCCATTCTTTTGTGTCGGAGGGGTAAACCTCTACCCTACTTGGCAAACACAAACCTTCTGATAGTGGGATTTCTATTCCGAGTTACACTTTGCAGAGACTTCTGAAGTTGACGCAGGTGCCCTGGGATCCCTAAAATAGTGGTTTTAACAATGACTCCAAATTATTTATGATTAAAAAAAAAAAAAGCCCAATATATTTCACAAAGACAAGTAACAGTTTTATGTCTACTTATACTATTAAACTAAATTTTCTGTAATCCCCCTTGTCCCGCATTTGCAGGGTGCCTCCCCGGGACACACGTGCAAGGAGAACACCCCTGACAGCAAACCGAGCTTGCACAGATCCTTTTTGGTTGATCGTTAAGAAATTATGCTCCAAAATGCAACTCAGACGTTCAAAAATGAATGACCAAGCAATCTAATTATGGAAGATATTTCTCAGTCATGTCAGCACTATGTGGTCTTGGCTCACGATCAAGAATTAGCTCTGTCTGGAGCCGAGGAGCTCTGGCTACTCAGTGCTAATCATAGGAGGATGCACTGTGTTACCCACTGTTAAAAATAAAAATAAAGTTTAGGGCTGCAAGCTGCTTTTCTTGCAGTTTTCTTTCGCCACAGTAGGAGATACCAATGGAAAGTCACTGGAAGACCCTGGGGCCCCAGTTTTCCCACAGGGGGGGTTGTCCTTAGCACCTCTGCAGCCCTAAAAATACATCCTTGCTTGAGCAAAGCAACAGGCACCGACACGGTTTGTGAGAAATCTCATGCCTACCCTTTATTTTAAATAACCCAGCACAGGCGATCCGTTCAGCATCCATTCGTGGGACCCATCCCACGCCCGAGCCTGCAGGGACAGCAACGCCGTCCCATCGCCCGCCCGGCTGATGGATCAAAGGAAGGAAGAAGATGGATCAAAGGTTAGGAAGAAGTTTTTCACTTTAAGGGTGGTGAGGCACTGGAAGAGGTTGCCCAGAGAGGTTGTTGAGGCCCCATCCCTGGAGGTGTTCAAGGCCAGGCTGGACGTGGCCGTGGGCAACCTGGGCTGGGGGGAGGTGTCCCTGCCCAGGCCAGGGGGGGTGGAACTCGATGATCTTCAAGGTCCTTTCCAACCTAAACCATTCTATGATTCATTCTATGATTCATCCATCGCCCGCCCCTTTGACGAGCGGCTGTAGTGTTGGGAACTGCTTACGCCTCCACGGACAGACCTCTCGAAGCACAGTGGTGTCAAGAAGAGCTTCAAAACACGACAGCGGTACAACCAGGGGCAGGCAGGGGAGTGCAATGGGTGAAGCGTGGAGAGCAGCCGCTGCCCGCAGTCCACGTGAGCACAGACCAGTTACGGACACAGAAAACACCAACCTAGAGCCAAGACAACGCTCTTCGCTTGTCCAACTGGCAGTGAACTCCTCGAAGGAAAAGGAGTGAAAAACACGAGTACTGAGGCCCACTTAAAGAGAGATCTAATGTTTATGTGTATTATGTAAAGAACACTCATGGTGCGTACTCACTGTAAAGGGCACATTCGGCAATAATTATTTCCCCAAGTCAAAACTCATCCAACAATGCCCATACAAGGCAATTCTTCATCTACTGTTCAGTGTTAAAGACTCGGCACCTTTTATAATTTATCACCATGCAAGCACAGCAAAACAAAACAAAAAAAAAACCAAACAACTCTGCCCCAGGTTCCTTTCAAGTTCAGCTTTTTATTGACTTGTTTGGCAGGGGCGCAATCCTCCCGTCAGAGGCTGCGCGGCAAAAAAAGAGCTTTAAGTAGCAGAGAAGGACTCCACACATCTCCCGCATATGCACACCAGTGCGGCAACTTTTGGCGGATTTGCGGCAGATCTTTCCCATGGTCTGTCGCAGCAAGACTTTTGCTCTGTTTTCTATTACATGTGAATACACATAATGTAACGAGGGAGAACGAGAGACCAGAATTACCAAAGAAGCTTGAACGAGGGACCAGAATTACAAAAGAAGCTTGCTCCTTGGCCAGGTAACGCACACCTCTGGGGAACAGAGGGGGCGGTTTAAAGATAGAAATGCAACGGTACACGATGTTACCAGCTGTACGTGCAAGGAAATGCGCTCAGAAAGGTAATCTTGCAAACTTATGATTTAAGCCATTACAGAAACGCCGCATTTAGCAGACTCCAGGCACACGGAGTTTCTTCCAAACCCAGTAACTATTTTGCAATGTGTCGGAAAACAAGCTTTCATCGAATGAGTAAGTGCGCAGCGCAAACTCGGGGGCTCTGTGATCTCAAAAAGCAGTTCCTCTCCACCGAACAATTTTCCAAGACCTTTTCAAAACGTTGTTTCTGGATGTCTAACATGCCTTCCCAGCCGGCTTCTCCTCGCTTTCACCAAGTTCATACTTTAAGCGTATCTAGCTGAACCTTCAGGAGCAGTTCGCTAGGAGAGTTCTTTCTTTAATGCACTCCCGTACACAAGCTAGCCCTTCACTGCAGCTCGGTAAATAAGCCCAAAGCAGTTTATGGTCTGAGATGTTACTGTTGGACTTTGCTTCCATCTGAGAACCCGGGCTGGAGTAAGGCAGGCTGCTGGAGGGGTGGGAGGTGAACACTGCTGGGGGACCAGCAAGCGGGGCCACCATTTCAGCCTCC